GGGTGTCTGGGGCAGTGGGTGTGGCTGGGGTGAGTGGCAGTGTTCCCTCTAAGCTGTGTTCCCTCCGACTGTGTGGGGCTGATCAATCACCTGTGAAGCAGCGCTGCCATGCAGCTTAGGGGGAACACCGGGGAGTGAGCATATGTACAACATATGCACAAAAATGTGAAAGCGTTGAAATGTCAGGTCATCACAATTCATTGCTGGTTTGTACAAATGATTTGATTTTGGGAGAGAAGGAAGCCCTGCAATTTCATGGGGCTTGGGGTGTAGTTTGGGGGATTTTATTGCTGCGTTTGCTCCGCTGATCCAGTCTACTACCACATCTCAGACATGTTCAACATCTCCAAGCTTGACCTTGGAACATTGCCAGAATTGGAAATTAATACATACATAAAAATAATGTGGATGGAACATCTATTTTTTAAATTAATGTGTTTAATTTTGTTTCAAAACTTGAATTCTCATGATTTCCAGTCAAACCAATTGAGCAAAGTTGTGTGAAATATGTACGTTTTGCTGGTGCAAACTGAAAAAACAGAGTTTAAAAGTCACTTTAATTTAACAAGGGGGCTGCTTTGTCTCTTCATTCAAGCTGGAGAGCAGCTGTAGGACCAGTGAGTCCCACATAACTCTGGGGGGTGGTTCCTTAGTTGGTATAAGTCAGCATAACTCTATGCAGTTACGCCAATTTACACTATTTGAGAATCTAGCTTCTGATATTTCCCTGGGCTCATCTCACTCCCTTCCTGCCCCCCCTAAAGAAAAAGCACTTGGTTCCTTTGTTATGGGACTGACAGCTTCAGACAAGGTCTGAGTGGGAGAACACAGAGCACAGTAGCTGGTTCAGGCGGTATTTTTCCCAGACTGTAGCACAGGCCTTGCAACCTTCTTGTGCAGACATAAGTTGAACTGTAGGGGTGTGTCTAAACTACATGGCTCCATCAATGGAGCCATGTAGATTAGGCTGATCGGCAGAGGGAAATGAAGCCGCGATTTAAATAATCGTGGCGCGCGCTAGTTTAGACACTCCTGTGCCGACATGAAAGCCCTTTATTGACCTCCCCGTTATGCCTCGTAGGATGAGGTTTACCGAGGAGGTCGATAAAGGGCTTTCATGCCGGCAGGGGAGCGTCCAGACTAGCGCGCTGAGCCGACAAACAGCTGATTAGCTGTTTGTTAGCTCAGTGCAGCAGCCATTTAAATTTAAATGAAGCCACAATTATTTAAATCACGGCTTCATTTCCCTTTGCCGAACAAACAAATCTACATGGCTCCATCGATGGAGCCATGTAGTTTAAACGTACCCTTGGTGTAAATTTAAACGGATTTAGTTAAAACAGCACAAAAGGCTGTGTGGACATTATTACTTCAGTTTATCGTAATCAGTCAATGAGGAACAGGTTTAAACAAAACCAAAATAAACTCCAACTGAAATTAGTGTGTGCACAGTGGTTTGCAGTGGCTTAACTACGTTGGTTTCAAACGGATGTAAATTAAATTGATACAGTTTAATTATTAAGGGTGGACTACTCACAAGCACTTAGCATTGGCCTTACTCTACTTATACTGACTTCCCTGAGCACTGACTGAATCCCATTATATAGCATTAAATCCGTGGCCGTGCACTGTTTCTTTCTACAGAATTGCCAGATAAACTCTTTGGCACAGGAATTATTTTGCTCTGTTTGTACAGCACCAGTCATCTGGCTATGGAGCCTTCTTGGCACCACTGCTATATACATTAATAATCATCATCATCAATAAAAGCCTGTGTCAGCCCCTTCAGAATTTCCCCTGGCAGAGATGGATTTGAACTGCTTCCCCCATCCCACACTTCAAGGTTCAAGTGCATGTGATGTCTGGCTTCAGATTCAAAGGCTGTAGGTGGTGTTGCAATATAGCTTTTCCCATGGAAAATGCCAGTTCTCTTGTGGCCCCTAGCAAGGAAAGGGATGAGGAAGATGAAGCTGTTGTCCTTGTCACCTTCTATAGGCAAAGGCCCTGACCCTGGGCCAAGCTCGCTGTATAAGAAGCCTGAAAGCCTTGAGGGGCACTTGCAAAACCTGCAGTTGGAGGAATCCACGGGCCTGGCTCCCACCATGCTCCTCTTCACCGTGCTGGAGACAGCAGTTTCTACTGATGATCCTCCAGCTCTTCCAGCTACATCCCTTCGGCCCCAGGTAAAGGTGCATCTGTGATGGGTTACCTCTCAGTCCTTGGTGCCACCTCATATACTTGGGTACCACTGAGCTCCCCTGTTCCACCAGCCTGGGCTCCCTCACCCAATCCTGATGCAGGCTGTAAAGCCACACTAGAACACACACCTAGCATCAGAAAGACACAAACACTCAGCTCTGCATGGGAAGACTCAGCTAGAGAATTGCCCAGCCCTCAAGTGCACAACCTCCTGGAGTGCAAATGCAAAGCTGTATCATCTTGCATTGTACAGTTTAAGCTCATGAAATTCCCACCCTCCCCCATTGTAGAGGAAGATGTGCATAGTTTTTTGCCCCATCCCCACCCCAATTATGGATTCCACAAACTGGTTTTAGAGAAAACAAAACCAGATTATAAGGGATAGCAAACAGATCAAAGCAGATTAGCCAGCACATAAAAGTTAAATGCAATATAAGTTCAGATACTTTAAAAAAAAAAAACCAACCCCTGGTACAGTAATTTTTCATCCTAAATGCTGTTTTGAAGCTTAAAACTCCAGATATTCCTTTCACAGGCCAGAGCCTTTTCCAGTTGGGACTCAGTCCTTTCCCACCCCCTTTGTCTTTGTTCTGTAGATCTTTCCAGGCCAGCCATCATCCTGGGTGGGGGATTCAGTGAAGAATGAACCAAAATTAACTCACTTCCCTGCCTTGAATAGGATTTACATATGGCGGGAATCCTTTGTGTCCCAGTTTGAGCCTCACTCCCTATCAGTGGAAAAAATACTAATAGTCCAAGGTGGGGTCCAGTATCATGTGACATGGTCACACGACTCTGCAGTGTCAAAGCAACTGTAAGTCAAAAGTTGTTTGCAGCATCCCAGGAAACTTCTCAGATAGGTGGGAGACTAGCACCTTCAAAGTCCGATGGACCAGGCTGTTTGCTTTCCCACAACTGTAATCAGTACATAGGCAATATTCCCAACTTCAGATACAAAAATGATGCATGCATATAAATAGGATACTCATAGTCAGTACATCCTAACCTTTCCAGTGTTACCTTATATGATCCATCCTGCATCATATACTAGTTATGTCTTATTCATATAACAATATCTATGTGAAGAACGGGGGCACCGTGTCAAACCCACCACTGCCACTGAGACTTTCTGGGGGGTAATGTCTTCAAAGCACCTGCCAAACTTTGCCTGTGGGGTCCTACACAAGGGCAGACTCTTGCCTTGCTTCTTGTCATATGCAGGTCCGTGCCAGGCATGATGGGGACGTGATGCCCACCCTGGATATGGCTCTATTTGATTGGACAGATTATGAAGACCTCAGGCCAGAAATGTGGCCATCTGCCAAGAAGAAAGGTATCAGACTTTCATGGGGTCCACTATTGCCACCTGTACCCTCTACGCTCCTTCTAAGTCTTGAGGTTCCCAGCTATCCAAAAAACCGAAGGACAGACTTGGCAGCGGGAGAGAGGGAGAGGTGTAAGAGAAAGAGCCAATGAGTTTAAAGTTGTCTCATTGCAGCTGATTCTACCTATAAGACCCCTACCGTGGCTGTACCCGGACTGTCAACATGAGGATGCACATTTTAGCTTTATAAACTTCCATGCAAATACACAGACACATTGCTAGTGCCATGTAAAACCCTTAGTCTACCACAAAGGACATTTTGATGGAGTAAGACATGGATTTGCCAATTTCAACCTTTTATTTTATTATCTGATGTGCGTGCATCCTGTTATAACAACAAGGCGTCCTTGAAGACTTGGATAAAGACTTGGATAAAGACTAACATGGCTACCTCTCTGAATCTTGTCATCCTGCCATAGTCCTTTCAAGTCTCCATACTGAAAGCAAACCACACCTCTGTTCTGTAGAGTGGTGTATCTGGTATAGTCAGGTTTATCTGCAAAGAGAACAGTGTTAGTGTCAATGGCTAAGGATGCTGTGATTGCTTTTCAAGAGCTAATCCACCAGTTTAGATATTGAAAGTATTATTTGTATAACTATCTCAATTAGCTATGACCGATTCTTTAGGCTCCCCTAAATCCTCCCTCTATTGACTTGTATTTCGTGATCTGGAGCAATTTGCCCCTAGCGGGTCCAGAAGATGTGGTTTGGGTTAGGTTCAGTGGGAGGGAGAGTTCAATAAGCAACAAAGCCTGTGAGAAGCAGAGAGGAGACTGAAACTGTGACATTTAGAGAAGTTCTGCTCCAGATCCAAAGTTAGAGGCTATTTAGATCTAGGGATGGTTTGATTTGGGCCTTTCTCTAGGAAGGAATGCTGATCTTGGAAGCTTTCAAAGTCCGTCTGTTCCACATAAGCAATGGTGGTTCTGGTCATTTGCAGTAGTGAGAGGGAACATGGGAGAAGGTCAAAGGTAGTTTAGCGCCTGCTAAAGAAATGTTACTACTTCACTAGCCCAGACTGCAGGGTTCAGCCCGGTTCAGGCTGCTGGAAATGATACTGTCCCATCAAATTCCACCAGCTATTTGCTCTTCTCCGTAGAGAAACACCGTAGTAAGAGCCCTAGCAGTGGGAATGAAACCATGGAGGCTGAAGGAGAACCATGTGACCATCACCTTGACTGTCTCCCAGGTGAGCACTGTAAAAAGGAATTCATTTCTTGCAGAGTTGGTTGCACACTCTGGAGGGTCAGAAATCCAGGCCTAGTTTCTGTGACTGGGTTTGGGAGGAGAGGGACGCCCACCTCTAATTTATCCTAACGTTGAGAAATGGGTGGTGTGCTGAGGTGAGCGTGAAAACTCCTGGGAACATCCACAGTCCGAGAATGCACTGGGGCTGTGACTGGGAGGAATTCCTGCTCAAGATGGGTGCCAGTGGGGAGATAATTCAACTGCATTCCTTCTTCATTGACCATATTGATGGCTCACTCGCTGTGTTGGCAGGATCCTGCTGTGACTTGCGTGAGCACCTCTGCAAACCACACAATCGAGGCCTTAACAACAAGTGTTACGATGACTGCATGTGTGCTCAAGGTGAGTTCAGCTCGTTGCTGGTGGGAGACCTCCACGTACTTGTCTTCCACTTAGCACTGGTTCAATGGCTGGCTACAGAGTTTAAAGAGAGGCAATAGGGCCTAGTGGTTTGAGAGCCTGAGTTCTAATTGTGTCTCTGCCATTAAATTACTGAACTTCCATCTTCAATCTCTCCATTTTGCCATCTGCAGAGTAGGGAAATTAATCTCTCCAGATCCGTCTCACCTGAGGAGTGTGAGCAATAATCCATCAAAGTCTGTAAGGGGCTTTGAAGGTACACTGTGCTATTTACTTTCCAGCTAGATTTTTCTTAGGGGTGTATGTTGTAGCAGGATACGCCAGATCCAGGACTTTATTCAAACAGGATGCAGTGATTCATTGGCTTCTATGGAAACCCCAGTGCTCCAGGCCCTGTCTCGTGTTTAGACTGAGTAAGTTAATGCCAAGTGTGTATTCCTCGTGGTATACCAATATCCCATGAGCAATGGTACTAGGATAAATTTGCAGTTGAGCGCAGCTCTGATCATATGTATTTTTGTCATGGGAGAACTGAACAGCCTGGGGGCCTTGGGAATGATCCACATAAATTTTCCTCTCAGGTCTGAATACAGCTCAGAGCAGTGGTATCCACATACAAGTACCCTCCACTCAGTGACCTGTGACATCACTCCAGTTCTCAGTGGACAACTGCCCACACCATAAAATCCAGCGCTCAAAGGCAATTTTGTTGGCTGTCTCATGGCAGAAGCCAGGGAGACTGAAGTCCCCTCTCACCTCTGTAAGGGGAATCTTTCTAGGTCAGGGGTGGGGAAGCTTTTACTGACCAACCTGTGAGGCTCTAGTCACCAGGGCTGTCCATGAAGCACCTTCCAGAAATACCCATGGCCAGATCCAAAGGCTATGTCTTCACTTGCTGCACCGAACATCAATCTGGCATTCAATTTAGTGGGTCTAATTAAGACCTGCTAAATCAAATGCTGAGGGCGCCCCCTGTCAGCATCACTACTCCTGGCAGTCATGAGGAGTAAGGGAAGCAGATGGGAGTGTTTGCTCCTGACGGCCTCACACCGTGAAGTCAGCGCCAAGCTCGGCTTAAGGTATGTTGACTCCAGCTATGTTATTTACATACCTTAAGCCGACCTTCCAGTATAGACCTGGCCTAAGCTATTGTACATCATTGTCGTCAGCGGAGCTGCCATCTGGGCCAATGTTCTAATTACTTTTCTCATTTGTAAAGCAAGGACAAGAGGCTGACTAAAAAGAGGCACCAAATGACAAATGTGCCAAGTCCCAGCTGAAGAGGAATTACTTGGGCAAATTCCCAGGGTGAAACACTTATTCTGAAGGTAGAATAGTGATAGAGATGCAGCCGTGTTAGTCTGGTCTAGCTGAAACGAAAGACAGGAGAATGCAGCACTTTAAAGACTAACAAGATGCTGCATGCGCCTGTCTTTTATTCTGAAGGCTGTTCGTTGTTATCTTTTTAAAACAGAGGCTGCTTTCCTAGCATACAACTCTTACTTCTTCCCCAAAGGCTGTATCAGCCAGCATCTCATATCCTCCACACTTTAGGACTTGATCCAAAACCCATAGGAGTCAATGGAAAGGCTCTATGAACTCTAATGGGTTTTGGAATGGGCCCTCAGTTGCTGCTGTCAAAAGCCTCTGCCTCCTCTCGTGAAGTGTAAGAGCAATAAATAGCAAGGGGAGGTCCCCGACCATTGCAACTACCATAGCCCCACATTAATCTACGGCAATTTCCCAGTGGAGAGATCACTTAGACTGGAATAGGGGGAAACCAAGCGGAACTTCCATAATGCTCACTGACAACAATAAGGGAAATCCATCGGCATTACAGAAGAGCCCGTGAAACACTCTGCACCGGTGAAACCTCAGCCATAAATGAAGTCGCGTCACCTTAGATCAGTGAGCTAAATAGCATCTAGTGCAAGTCACAAGAAAACAATAAACTGTGAAAAGTCAAACTCAGAGGATGGGACTTGGCTGCCATTCTGGTCCAAGTAGTTCAGCCAACTCTTCGTTCGTGGGATAGTCCCCATTGAAGTGAGTTCTGCCAGTGCCTCTGTGTCACCATGCGTGACATGTCCTCACTGCTGAGTTGCCTCCACCTCCCCCACTGTAAGACGAGGACCAGCCTAATGCCTTGAAAGCTCTGTTCACCAGCGCGCACGCAGATGTGCATATAATTCTCTGTGTGTGCACGCGCCCACTCATCCCCCGCCCCGAGGACTCCCCAAACCAGACCATCGCACGCTCATCCTCTGTGTCTTCCATGCAGGGCTACGTTGTTATGCCAAATTTCACCGGAACCGAAGAGTGACCCGAAGGAAAGGGCGTTGTGTGGAGCCAGAGTCGGCCAGCAGCGCGCACGCAGATGTGCATATAATTCTCTGTGTGTGCACGCGCCCACTCATCCCCCGCCCCGAGGACTCCCCAAACCAGACCATCGCACGCTCATCCTCTGTGTCTTCCATGCAGGGCTACGTTGTTATGCCAAATTTCACCGGAACCGAAGAGTGACCCGAAGGAAAGGGCGTTGTGTGGAGCCAGAGTCGGCCAGCGGTGATAGGGGGGGGGGGGGCAGAGATTCATTTCCAGCCTGGAGGGTCAGGGACAAGTTATTTATAACTAGCAATGGGGAGGGGTGGGGGAAATCTCAACCAAATGATTGAAGCTGCAGGCTCTGATCTTGCAGAGTCCCAACAAGGGGTGATGATCTGGTGAGGATTTGAGGGTAGTTTTCAACTTTTCCTATCCCAGGACATCTCTCCCATCTCACTGGGGCAGAGTGATTGTGGCCCCCTGACACCTGTCCATGAGCCTTGGATTGAGAACCTCTGAAAATCATGCAGCTCTCACTCATTTGGGTCTCCTTTGGAGTGCGGGTTTTTTAATGATTATTTTTAGGAGCTTTCTGGGGAAATGCCCTTTTCCTAGTGAATGGAAAATAGTTTCTGGTGACGGAAGGTGGGGGAAGGCTGTTCCCCTGTAGTGCACCCTGTGATGTGTTGCATGTGTGTGTGATTGCGATGTAAATAAAAAGGTGATAGTTCTCTTTTGCCCAACTCTTTTTGCATCCTTGCCTGGGATAGAAGCCCATCAGAGAGCTCCCATGAGGCTTGGTGGGAGACTTCTAAGGAACGCCTCCATGGTTCAGACAATAGTGCATAGGAATTGCCCTACGTGGGGGCTCCATCCAGTCCAATATACCAGCTCCAGCCTAAGCTGCTTCAGAAAAGGACTGGAAAACAGCCTGGCACCAGGGAGCTCTGGAATAACCTGCCCACCGGGAGAGGTTTCTTCCCAACTCCCAATAGCTGGAGGCTGTCTTGTGCCCAGAAGTATGAGAGTTTATAGCCCTTCAGATATCTCTTGTTGTTCTCACCATTAGAACGCTGGAGATGCTTCTTAGCCAGAGCTGTCCTTACTCATATGCAGAATAAGCAGCCATGTAGGGCACCTGGAAATCTGGAGCACCAGTGGGTCTTAACGTCCACTCACATCTCTTCCTAGCCCTGTTCCCACCAGAGAGGATCTAAACTTAAGAGTGAAAAAGTCTGCCAGGGCTATTTTCAGAACATTGAACCTATGGAAGAGCCATTCAAGTGGTAAGAAAGTCATTTAACAGGCATTTGCCAATCCCAGTTCTACGCTGTCAGTTTCTGAATTTACTGTTTAGTAAACAGGAGCTTAGTTTAAAATTTGCTTTAAAAATGTCATTGGCTTGTTGCTGAAGATTATAAAGTCACATCTCTAAAAAAGTAATTCCCCTTCCCCGGGCTGCTGTTGGGCATAGGGACACCAATTTCATAGTACTGTATAGGGCTCCATAAATCCTATGAACGGCCCTGTTCTTGGCATATAAATATCCAGTCCTTTTAAAATCCTACTAAATGTTTTATTTCTAGAATGTATTGTGGCAATGAGTTGCACTGGTTAACTGCATTGTATGATGTAGGTAAGACATTAGGTTTCATTTTCTCTTAGTACATACTGAGCCAGTGTGGCTTCAAAAGTTTGTGTTGCTTGAGATAATGTCTTTCGAACATAAAACCAAGACCTCAGCCCTTTCTGCAGGAGTGAAGGTATTAGCTCTGGTTTTCTGGTCAAATTCTAGTTTGATTCTAATTATATTCTACTCTCCTAACTTCTCCCTGCTGTTCCCTTAGCATGTGTTGGTGTTCATTTTCTGCCCTAAATTCTTATGTACTGTTGCCGGTCACTATTATAGGAAAATATGGAAGTGCACACAACAGTTCCCACTCCACAATATAAAGTCTGACTGAAGGCCCAATAACAATTCTATAATGCTGTGTATATAAGAACAAGGACCCAAGTGCATCTTCATTGCAAAAGAGATTTTTGAGGGAGGAATTTGAAGGAGCCCTTAAGAACAAACCCCATGATTTGAATAGCAGAAGTGACAAGGTAGAATGATTTCTGTCAAAGAATTAGGGCTAAGTCATGAGCATTGAGTCTAACTCTGAGCTGCAGGAAGAACGCAATTATCCACAGTATAGACACACCAACAGCCCTGATTCAGGACAAGGGGCGCCACTGCCAATGTTATTGCCAGCAACTGGAATTTAAAGGCAAGAGTTCTTAGCTGATCAGTGGCAGGTTTGTTCAAAACTGAGCTGAGACGGCTTGGCCAGGACACCACTTTCCAACGTGGTCGTTGCTCACCTGATTGTGACCGGGCCCCAGTTTTACTGCAAACTCAGCAAGCACAGACCCTGGGTTCAGGTGAAGCTCGAATAGTGATGGGGAGTAGGTGCAGGGGGTTTGCCTGTGTAAAGCAAATTGAAGGATCTGGGCCTTACTGTGTGTTAGGCTAGTGAGTAGAAATCATATTAAGAGTCTGCACTGGCACTTTACTGTGCTGCAACTTTCTGGTTCAGTGATGTGAAAAATCACCCCACCCTGAGTGCAGCAAATGACAGCATTGTAAAGCGCCAGTGTAAGTGGGCTACAGTGCTGTGAACCATGCTCCAAGTGCAGTAAGTAGGGTTGCCAGGCGTCCGGTATTGGTCTCTGTCTGGTAAAAAAATCAGAAAATACCAGACATGTAACATGTACTGTTTTCCTCTGATGGAAGGCTGCTTGGGACATTCCTCCTCTGCCGCATCTGGTGGGGGTGGGGAGAGTGGTGAGCATGGGGATTTAAAGGCGCAGTGCCTCTTTCTTTTGGGGCTTTTTTTTTTTTTTGCTCAACAACTTTGGTCCCCTGGTTTGGGGTTGGGGTTGGGGTTGGATTGGGTTGGGTTGGGTTGGGTTTGTTTTGTTCTAAGGGGATTTCTGGGCATCCTCTGGCTGCCCCATCCTGTGCTGGCTCCTGCAACCAGCCCCCACACACAACAGGATGCACTGAGCGATGTGAGGCTGGACTGGAGGACTCCAGAGGAACAGGAGATGGCTGTGCAACTGGCAGCTGGAGAAAAACGTCAGTTTCCTTTTAAAAGCACCACTTTCCTTCAGCTTCTAGATCCACGATTGCCCTTTGCTCCTTCCAGAATCCTTTGACCAGCACTTGTGCTGCTCACCCCCACCTGTTCCTCTTGCCTATTCCTCAGATGCCATGCATGGAATATGTAGCTTTGTAGGATATCCAAAAATTTGGTGCACCACTGGGTCTTAATGTCCATCCATTTCTGCCTATTCCTGTTTTGTGCCCCTTCTTCCTCCCGAGATCTAGTTAACTTAAAAGTAAAAAAGCCTGCCAGCCCTATTAGCAGAACATAGCACCCATGAAAGAATCATTCAAGTAGTAATGAAGTCATTTAACAGGCATTTGCCAATCCCAGTTCTGTGCTGTCAGTTTCTGAATTTACTGTTTAGTAAACAGGAGCTTAGTTTAAAATTTGCTTTAAAAATGTCATTGGCGTGTTGCTGAAGATTATAAAGTCACATCTCTAAAAAAGTAATTCCCCTTCCCTGGGCTGCTGTTGGGCATAGGGACACCAATTTCATAGTACTGTATAGGGCTCCATAAATCCTATGAACGGCCCTGTTCTTGGCATATAAATATCCAGTCCTTTTTAAATCCTACTAAATGTTTTATTTCTAGAATGTATTGTGGCAATGAATTGCACTGGTTAACTGCATTGTATGATGTAGGTAAGACATTGGGTTTCATTTTCTCTTAGTACATACTGAGCCAGTGTGGCTTCAAAAGTTTGTGTTGCTTGAGATAATGTCTTTCGAACATAAAACCAAGACCTCAGCCCTTTCTGCAGGAGTGAAGGTATTAGCTCTGGTTTTCTGGTCAAATTCTAGTTTGATTCTAATTATATTCTACTCTCCTAACTTCTCCCTGCTGTTCCCTTAGCATATGTTGGTGTTCATATTCTGCCCTAAATTCTTATGTACTGTTGCCGGTCACTATTATAGGAAAATATGGAAGTGCACACAACAGTTCCCACTCCACAATATAAAGTCTGACTGAAGGCCCAATAACAATTCTATAATGCTGTGTATATAAGAACAAGGACCCAAGTGCATCTTCATTGCAAAAGAGATTTTTGAGGGAGGAATTTGAAGGAGCCCTTAAGAACAAACCCCATGATTTGAATAGCAGAAGTGACAAGGTAGAATGATTTCTGTCAAAGAATTAGGGCTAAGTCATGAGCATTGAGTCTAACTCTGAGCTGCAGGAAGAACGCAATTATCCACAGTATAGACACACCAACAGCCCTGATTCAGGACAAGGGGCGCCACTGCCAATGTTATTGCCAGCAACTGGAATTTAAAGGCAAGAGTTCTTAGCTGATCAGTGGCAGGTTTGTTCAAAACTGAGCTGAGACGGCTTGGCCAGGACACCACTTTCCAACGTGGTCGTTGCTCACCTGATTGTGACCGGGCCCCAGTTTTACTGCAAACTCAGCAAGCACAGACCCTGGGTTCAGGTGAAGCTCGAATAGTGATGGGGAGTAGGTGCAGGGGGTTTGCCTGTGTAAAGCAAATTGAAGGATCTGGGCCTTACTGTGTGTTAGGCTAGTGAGTAGAAATCATATTAAGAGTCTGCACTGGCACTTTACTGTGCTGCAACTTTCTGGTTCAGTGATGTGAAAAATCACCCCACCCTGAGTGCAGCAAATGACAGCATTGTAAAGCGCCAGTGTAAGTGGGCTACAGTGCTGTGAACCATGCTCCAAGTGCAGTAAGTAGGGTTGCCAGGCGTCCGGTATTGGTCTCTGTCTGGTAAAAAAATCAGAAAATACCAGACATGTAACATGTACTGTTTTCCTCTGATGGAAGGCTGCTTGGGACATTCCTCCTCTGCCGCATCTGGTGGGGGTGGGGAGAGTGGTGAGCATGGGGATTTAAAGGCGCAGTGCCTCTTTCTTTTGGGGCTTTTTTTTTTTTTTGCTCAACAACTTTGGTCCCCTGGTTTGGGGTTGGGGTTGGGGTTGGATTGGGTTGGGTTGGGTTGGGTTTGTTTTGTTCTCTGCATGTGTGCTCAAGGTGAGTTCAGCTCGTTGCTGGTGGGAGACCTCCACGTACTTGTCTTCCACTTAGCA